GGGTTTAGGGTTTAGGGCTAATCCTCAGCCCGAGATCCTAATCCCTTAGCCGAAAACCCCTTCCTAAAGCAGAAAGCCATTTGGCCAGAAGATAGAGCCCCCAAAGGACCATGTCAGAAAAAAATACCGTCAACCCTTCGCTTCAACAGGTGACTGATGGTGAGTATATAGTATAGCTTTAGTATAGTATAGTGTAGTATGGCATAGCATAGTAGAGTACTGTATCGTATACTATAAAGAACACGCAAAACCCTAGTGAAGGGTTTCACAGAGGGTGGTAACTGTAGAAGCATATCATTCTTTAGAGCTCCTTATTTTAACTTTACTATAAAGGAGCCCAAAACCCTNNAACCCTATTCTAATTCTTAAGGTCCCTACATTAACTGGGGAAGCAGGGATTCGGGAGAGTATCGTTGTATCTTTAGGGTCTATAGGCTTTAGGGGTTTAGGGGTTAGGGGTAAGGGTTTAGGGGTTAGGGTTTAGGGGTTTAGGCTTTAGGGTGTAAGTTTGCCCTAACATGGGACTTCGCCGGCCCGTACTTTTCCCCGAAGTCGCTGAGAGAAGGGCCTCGATAGAGCTCAGCGGGCATCCCCATCCTGTTGATGATACAAATCCTGCATTACCCTAATGACCCTAAACTATGGGAATTATGGTAAAATCCTTATTGTGGGTAATGCAGGATACACTTCATCAACCGTACAAATTTGCCACACTGCATGAACTTTCATTTTGACGCAGTCTAGACCTTACAGCCCCTAACGCCTAAAAGCTTAACTGAGTCTGCACCAAGAAAGCCATAAACCCACAATGCCCAAAAAATCCAGCATTGTCAATACTCTTATAAACCCCTAGCCCCAAATCCTAACCCCGAAACCCTAAACCCCAAACCCTAAACTCTAAGCCCCAAGCCCTAAACCCCAAACCCTAAACCCTAAACCCTAAACCTCAAACCCTAAACCCTAAACCCCAAGCCCCATTCTGGTAGGAGCAGCTTGCTGGGTCCCAGCCGGTGCAAGCCGGGGCTCCCGCCTCCCAGCAGAAGGCGAAAAGCTCCGCGCAGGCCCGGGGCTTCGGGGTGTTGGGGTTTTAGGGCGTTGGGTTTCGGGATTTCAGGCTTTTAGGGCGTTAGGTTTCGGGTTTCAGGGCTTTAGGGCGTTAGGTTTCGGGATTCCAGGCTTTTAGGGCGTTAGGTTTCGGGTTTTAGGGTTCTCGGGCGTTAGGTTTCGGGATTTCAGGCTTTTAGGGCGTTAGGTTTCGGGTTTTAGGGTTTTCGGGCGTTAGGTTTCGGGATTTCAGGCTTTTAGGGCGTTAGGTTTCGGGTTTTAGGGTTTTAAGGGCGTTAGGTTTCGGGATTTCAGGCTTTTAGAGCGTTAGGTTTCGGGCTTTAGGGTTTTAGGGCGTTAGGTTTCGGGATTTCAGGCTTTTGGGGCATTAGTTTTCGGGCTTTAGGTTTTAAGGGCGTTAGGTTTCGGGATTTCAGGCTTTTAGGGCGTTAGGTTTCGGGCTTTAGGGCTTTAGGGCGTTAGGTTTCGGGATTTCAGGTTTTAGGGCTTCCGGGCTTTAGGGCTTTGGGTCGTTTAGGTTTCGGGATTTCAGGTTTTAGGGTTCTCGGGGTTTAGAGCTTCGGGGTTTCAGATCTTAGGGCTTTGAGTTTTCGGGGTTTGGGGGGGTTTAGGGCTAGGGTTCAGGTTTCGCCACCAGGCCCTGGTCGCTTATGCTGCTTCTCGGGCTTTACCCATAGGCCCCATAGTAGTTCCTTTTTGAGAATACCTTACAGGATTCTAAATATGAACCCCACAAAGGAACTACCATGGGGCCTATGGGTAAAGTTTGATTTTCTCGCTTTCGTGCTTGAGCCGGCCGGCCTTAGAATGGCCAAGCAGGTCTGGAGCCTGTGTAACTGACAATCCTAGTTTCCAAAACCTCGAACAACCTTGCACATCCTTGTGGGTTTAGGGTTTAGGGTTTAGGGCCCCGAACAACCTTGTGGGAGTTTCCGAAAATAGGGGTACCTTATTTTGGGGGTCCTTATAATAAGGGTCCTACTAATTTAGGGTACTATATTAGGGTCCCCCATTTTCGGAAACTCCCTTGTAGACCTGTGAAAAGATTCACAAAGCCTGCATCAAAGCCATGAAACCGAACACAGGCTAAACCCCAAACCCAAGTGATTACAAACAGACCCCCGTGCCAAGAGGATCCCGGGTCACTAGTAAGCAGGTCATGACCAAGCTTTCCCAACTAACAGAGGGGCCGGATGAACTTCCAACAATATTCCTCAGTGTTCCTTAGTAGAAATATACGATCAATGATTCCAAAAGGATATTCTAATTGTTGAGGCCGCTCATAACCGGGGCAAACACAAGCCTACTGCGTCTATCCTGCTTAGGCCGGTGTCCGCTCTTTTTACGTACTTGCTGCATGCATAGTTCTCTAAAACAAGGGGTCCAGCCTAGGGTCCTTATGGTACGAGCGGCATCCACAAGAGGCCCCTAAAATAGAGAACTACCCTAAACCCAAAACCCTAAGCCCTAAACCCTAAGCCCGAAACCCTGAACCCTTAGCCCTAAGCCCTAAGCCCTAAACCCCAACCCCAAAAACCTGAGCCCTGAACCCCAAACCCAAAACCCTAAGCCCTGAACCCTAAACCCCAAACCCTGAATCCTAAGCCCTGAACCCCAACCCCAAAACCCTAAGCCCTAAACCCCAAACCCAAAACCCTAAGCCCTGAACCCCAAACCCAAAACCCTAAGCCCTGAACCCCAAACCCTAAACCCTAAGCCCTAAACCCTAAGCCCTGAACCCAAAACCCTAAGCCCTGAACCCCAACCCCAAAACCCTAAGCCCGGAGCCCCTCTTCCTTTTCGCCAGCCTGGAGCGCCGGCTGCACAAGCAGATGGAGATGGCTACAACTATAAGGCCGACATGGGAGTTTCCGAAAATTAGGGTACCCTACTCTTTTGGGCTCCTTATAATAAGGATCCTACTATTTAGGGTACTATACCAGGGTCCCCTATTTTCGGAAACTCCCACATAGAGCACTTGCTTGACTTGAGGACCTACCCATAGGCCCCATGGTAGTTCCTTTTTGGGATTTACCTCATAGGATTCTAAATACGAACCCCAATAAGTTACCCATATAGGCCCCAAAGTAGTTCCTTTTTGGGGGTTCATAATTTAGAATCCTAGAAGGTAACCCCAAAAGAGGAACTACTATGGGGCCTATGGGTAGTTTGAGGGATAGAGAACCCTAAACTTGAAACACTACACTACCCTTACATGATGTCAAACTTATAAGGAGTGTACTGTTTATGGTTTGCAAAACCTAGCGTTTCAGGAATTGGGCTTAGGTTTAGAGGTCCGGCTTAGAAGTGCCGGTGATGATGGTTTCGGGTTTTTGCTGGGGATAAAGAACCTACGGTCTGTACACGGCCCGGACACCAGGACTCGGGGTTTGCACCGGGGATTCGGAGTGAAGGCCCAGTGGAGTTTGCAGAAGCGGGGCCCGATGCAGACACAGAGATGTTTCGAAGGCGCGAAAAAAGTTGCAAGATAAGAGACCCCAACGGCGCCTGGGGCGACATTTTACCCTCAACTCTACCAGCTGGGGCTGTCGATGTGCGTGGGGTCCTCCGCATAGGATACAGACAGTAGGGCGGTACTGCCTATGTTAGTGTCTTCGATGCCGCTCCGACTGAATAAACTCGAAACTCCAATTTAGAACCTAGACCATGTAAGCTCTTGAGTATGAAAGCCAAGAATCTCGCAAAGATTGAAACAAGCGGGTCCGGTCAGCCCACAAGCCTCAAACAGTCTTGACTCAGAGATGACTTGTGGGTTTGAGGCTTAATAAGTTTACGGATTTGAGGTTCCGCACACCCCAACCCCCAACCCCTACAACCTGATCGCAGGTGGCTACAACCCTTACTGTAGCAGACGTGCAGGTCTTCCCGGATGGCTCCAGATACGAAGGTCAGTGGAAGGATGGCTTGAAGCATGGGAAGGCACTGACTGGGGTAAATACAGGAATTGTCCTCCACTCATAACACAAAGGGGGGGGTTGTACAGGGGCCTGAAATCATTAGTAAGAGTATATCCCATCATGTCCACTGTTTTCATGTTCATAAAGCATACTCTAAAACCTGAAATCCCCACATGACTCATGAACGGCTCGGGATTCTTGCAGGATTTGGCTTCGGGTGTGGTGTTCGTTTTGGGCTTCGAGGGCGTCAGGTGCGGCTGGGTTGAGGCGTCTGGCATTTCGCAACTGCGGATCCTGGTTGAGGGGAAAGTAACTACCCATAGGCCCCAAAGTAGTTCCTTTTTGGGGTTACCTTATAGGATTCTAAAGAGGAACCCCAAAAAGGAACTACTTTGGGGCCTATGGGTAGAGCCCAGAGCCCAAGCTGACAGAGCTAGACTTATAGCAGAAAGCAAGAACTGATGACATGTCAGGGCTCAGCCGGGGGGTGTTGGCCCCCTTTTGATTACCGCGGTTCTACGAACTCAACTTTGGCGGTTTGGAACACCGAGTGTTGGGATGTCATGTCCGCACTTTCGGTTTCAGATGCCCGGCGGTACAAGCTTAGTTGTTGGGATTGTCGGTTTGAGAGTTTCAGCTGCCTGGGTAGGAACTGACATACTGGGGATCCGCTTTAACAGCCCCATAGGGTTTGGGGTATAGGGTCTCTTCAGCAGATTCCTAGGTTAGGCTTAGTAGCAGAAGACGACGATAGGTCTGGGGATCGGAGAAGCGACATTCCTTGCGCAGGGCCGCTTCATCTACCCCGACGGCGACGTCTACGATGGCCGCTTGGCAAAGTGTTTTGAATTAGGTTCCCCAGTAGTACCCTTTCGCCCTTTTTCTTTTTGGATTCCCTGATTAAAACTTATTAGTAGGAAAAAGGGTATCCTTATCATTAAGGGGCTACTGGGGAACCTCGTGAATAGCCTGGTATGTATCCAGCTCGTGGGTAGTTTGTATTCATGTACTAAGTGGATCCCACAGCTCAGAGCCTTTCCGTGTGTACCAGAGCAGGGTCTGTGTAGTACAGAAGCCGAAACAATTACCTATTATTCCTTAGGGTTCCTTATCACAACTATACTATAAAGGAGCCCGAAACCCTATTCTAATTGTTAAGGCCCCTACATTACGACAGTGCTCCGTGAGAGCTTTATAGGCCGCAGGAAGATAGATTCAGTGTCAAGAGTATTTTAAGGCGGCTTCGGTGGTTTATGGCTTCTTAGAGCGACATGCCCTAGGATTCTTCTTGTGTTCAAGGGACACCGAGGCACTGCCTCGTGGTGTCGGAATGCTGGGAACCTGTCTGTCAACATGTCCCATTACGCTGGGGTGACCATTTAGCAAGAAGCCGGGCGGCTCATGTTTGCCCTGTGTCTTCAGTCAACCAAAAACCCGACAGACTCGAAGATTAAGTCCTGAGCCTTAGTCGCATCCCAAAGCAACAATATTCGCAAGCCTCACCGAGGTTCATGAATCCTCGAACCGACACCGTAAACCCTGAACGCCGAACCTTAAAACCAAAACCCAAGCCCAAGCAGAACAGCTCTTCCTACCCTAAACCCTAAACCCTAAACCCTAAACTTGCACCCAGGAGAGTGGCAGGATGGCAAAGCACATGGCTTCATGCTCAGCAATTGGGAGTGGACTAAAGGTGCTTTTACGGTATAGGTTTAGGGTTTAGGGTTTAGGGTTTAGGGTAAGGCCTCTGCCCATGTTTTACATGTTTCCGCTCTTCGAGGTCTTTCACCTTTGTTGCTGTTCGAGCTTAGGCGAGTCCATGTGCCAGAAGCTTTGTCTCAAGCCTACACCAGGACAACCTAGTGACTCCCTGCAGTCGTGATGGATGAAGGCGTTGACTATAAGGCCTTGTATGAGGCAGAGAGGCGCCGCAGTGGTGCTTTGCAAATTGCACTACGCAATGGTTGGGGCACCAACTGCGGTCCTCCGCAAACTGACGATCCATCTCAGTTGAAGGCTTTCGTTACCAATTCAAAGAATGTGCTCGCAGATGTGGAAAGGAGGCTGGCATTCATGAAAGCTCAAGAACTTGAGCGTTCGGTCATCTTCTGCTTCTATGAGGATGGGTGGAGTGTTGGTCGGATGTTCGGGACAGCAGTTGTCTATCCGGAACCTGGTGACACGATCCTCCGAGTGAAGGAGCGCATTTGCAGCATCTTATCTCTCCAGGGCCTCTGGCCGATGCCCGGTTATGACCACGACGTGTGCTTTTGTGTCGGGTGCCCCGGGATGGACACGACTTCCTGGCCGGAGGTGCCGCAGCCTCGTGACGACCAGGAAGCCTCGACGTTGCCCCAGTTCTGTGCAGCCCATGTGCACCGTTGCTAAAGGGAGGCGAGTGAAGCGCTTGTGGGATGCGACGGGAGTGGCCCGGAGGAACAGCCCCGAGTCCTGTGAAGTCGCAGGAGCATCATGCACAACACGATTTTGAGAGCTTTCGAGGAGCAGGGTGCCGTCTTTAGTCAGCTATCCCTGGAGCTAGGATTCTACTAGCTGCAGACTGCAGAGCCCCGACTTCTTGGAAAAGCTCCGTTTTAGTGCGCTGGAACCTCCCGCGAAGCTGCCGGGCGCTCCAACCTCAGGTTGATGCCCAGAGCCTCTGCAAAGAAGTGGTGGGTTGTTCTACAACAGGCTCCTTTTCAGGGCTTAAGGGGTATCCCATCAAAATGGCATAAAGATGTTAAGAAAGGGACCAAGACTGGACCATCACAGATCATAGAACAACTCCCATGCCATGGTCAGTGCGGGCTTATGCCGTCTGTACAGTGTATAGCACAAAGCGTCTGTACAGCGCTTGGCTCAAGCCTTTGAACAGGAGTGGCTGGGGTATGGTGTTGATAAACACTGCTCGCAGATCTCACATTATAGCTGTATGTGTACAACAACTGTAACAGGCAGAGATGCGCAAGTTATGCATGTATCATATGCATAATTAATATATATATATATATATATGTAATACATAGATGTAGACAGGCATTTGCAGATACTTACACACTCGTCTATATGTGCATGCTGTTCTCAAATGCTCAAGCAGGGTGCCGAAGATCACCGTTTCTCTCGGTGACGCATACATGCAAGACTCATGGCTGATGCCGAGATGTCCATAAGATGGATGCGAAGAATCACTAAATCCCTGCAACCCCTACGCCCATAGCCCCTCGTTGTTTATAAAGTATTTGAGATGCATCACTTAACTCACTAAACCCTTGAAGCCCCTGAGCCCCAATATGTAAGAGAGTTGATGAGGTGTTGCCAGGCTTAAGAATAGCTTGAGCTTGCAGGCAAGGCAATTTCTAAAGCCGGAATTGTCACTAGAACCACTAGAAGACAAGGCCGTTTTACCGAAGAATCATGCCGAGAGCAATTTCTTATGATAGCATCGTCGGCGAACATCGCTCGATAGATAAGATGGCAAGATCCTGCAATGTAGTCCTTTTTGCCGGTTGCACTTGTTTTTTCTTGTGCAGGACCCGAAGCCCACAAAAAGTGTTCGACAATTCTGTGTCTAAGTCCGTAGCATTCTAAGCCCGACTTCGACCCAATGTCGCGCTCTTTTGCATCGGCCCCGCCCTACTTGGTTTACGGTTTAGGGCTTTCGAGGTTAGGGTTGAGGGCCGTTTAGGGTTTAGTTCGAGTTTCGGGTTAGCAAGAAACCTGAAGCACTGTTGAGTTTACTAATTAGCCTCACGGGCAAAGATTTCTCAAGCCCTGATACAGATGCAGACATAAACCCGACCCTAAAATCCGAATCAAGGCACTAAACTCACTCAACGCCGCGCACCTGATTGCCCCAAACCCAGTAGAAGCATATCTGCCCACTTTGACCCATCACATCCTACTTCTTGCAGAGTGTTGCTGGTATTTCGGAAACCTAAGTAAACACGAAGGCTCTTCCTTGCGGTTTCTACCACAAGACACCATAAATAAGCCATAACCTACCCGAAACCCTATCCGAATGCTTGAGGCCCCGATGTTACTACCCTCGTCTTCGTATATGCTTTAAAGCAGGGGAACCTCAAAGTTGAAAAGTAAGAATTAGAAAAAGGTTTTGGGGTGTATTCTACTAGCATTGCAATAAGGAACCCCGAAATAATATAGGCCATTATCAAGGCGTCTATATTATGCCCCTCCTACAAACGCGGAGCGTCCAGAAGTTCCGAACCAGGTCATGGGACTTATACCTCCAAGCAGCGGGAGACTCGGTACCATCGAATTCGCCCGAGTTCAGAGGTCGTAGGATTTCGGTGGGGTTCAGGGTTTTTTTTTCGGGTTTCGGGTTTCGAAACGGGTCTCACTTCCCCCAAAGCTGCAAGGACTCACTTGTTGAGGCTTGTGGGCCCAAAGACCATATTATGTAAGGCCTTGGGGCTATTTTGAGCCTCAGGGTTCGGGAAGATATACCCTGAAGCCCCAAACTCCAATCCTGAAATCCTGAATCCCCTTATAAAACCTGCCTATTTAGGGATCCTTATTCTAGTTTACTTATAGAAGTCCTTAAAAAGGTAGGTTCTTTAGGGCCCAGGTAGGGAAGCCCAATGACCACCATCATGGATTTACACACTTGCACTATGCATACACGGGGGGGCCTGTAAATACAGCAGCAAGGCACGGCGACAACAAGACAATACTACACGGGTAGTTCTCTAAATTAGACCCATAGGACCCCCCCTAAACCCTAAACCCTAAACCCTGAACCCGAACCCGAACAGGAACAGGGACCCCTTTTTAGACTGACTTGCAGGGCTGAACACGCAAGCCCTACACCCTAAGGCCCTGGCCACCCCCACCTGCGCCGCGAGACCCTAAGCTACAGAGCCCAAAGACCCCAAACCTTATATTAAAGCCTACATCAACCCCAAATAACCTACCTTTGTAAGGACATGTATAAAGGAAACCAGAACAAGGAGCACCCAAACACGAAGGTTTTATAGGCTCCAGCTAAGTATCATAGAGCCCCACTATGAAAGCTCAGAGAAGAGCCCCACATGCCCTATTAGCAGCCCAGAACCCTAAGCCTTAAACCCAGAACCCTAAACCCTAAACCCTAAAACCCTATACCCTAAACCCGAAACCCTAAAACCCTAAACCCAAAGCCCTAAACCCTAAACCCTTAAACCGTAAACCCTGAACCCTATTCGCAGCCCTGGCAGGTCGAAGTATGTTGGCGAGTGGCAGAGCGATTTGAAGCACGGCCAAGCTGTCGAGGAGCCTTCGTGAGTTTTAGGGCTCCATGAAAGGGTTCAGGGTTTAGGGTTCAGGGTTCAGGGTTTAGGTATGATGATACGTTAGCGTTTAGGGTTTAGGTATGATGATACGTTAGGGTTTAGGCTTCAGGGTTTAGGCATGATGATACGGGCTATTATGGAGACCTAGTTGGGGTTGGGGTTTCGCGGTTCAGGTTCGGGGGTTAGGGTTTTCGGGGTTGTTAGGTTCCCTTTCTTGCTTCCTTAAACGCTCTTTAGGGGTTTTGGCTTGGTTCGGTTGGCTTCCTTTCGGGGTTCTCTTAGGGCTTTACCCATAGGCCCCATAGTAGTTCCTTTTTGGGGTTACCTAGATATGAGCCCCAAAAAGGAACTACTATGGGGCCTGTGGGAAGGGCTTTAGCACCGGGGTATGGCCCTCCAAACCCCTACGCCCACAGCCAACCCGAAGTCGAGGAGTGGGATGACACGTCCAAGTACACCGGGACCTACTCCCACGGGCAAAAGCACGGCAAGGGCAGGCTTGACTGTTTAGGGTTTAGGGCTCGGGGTTTAGAGGCTAGGGCATTCAGAGGTTGAACCTTGTAAGCCCTAAACCCTGTTTACGGTCGTGGGATGCGGGGTTCAGGGCCGAGGATTGTAGGGTTCAGGGCCAGATCCCAGCCCTGGGGGGGTCTTGCGTGAAAGGGTTTCGGGCTTGTTGTGTGTAAGACTCCAAGATGGGCATGACGGTTTGGGGGTACGTGTTGTATGACCATATCAACCTTCATTCATTCCGAGCTTGCTACTGTTTTCGCAGTGTTTTGTAATGACCTTCCTTCAGAAAGTGACGCCCAAACCTTCATCAGACTACGAAAAGGGAAGAACAGGAGGAAAAGGAAACAGAAAAAGACATAGAAAAAGAAATAGAAAAAGAAAGGGAAAGACAAAAATAAAGAGAAAGAGAAAGATAAAAAGACAGAGAAAGAGAAAAAGAAGGATACAGAGAAAAAGAAAGAGAGACCCTTTAGACAGGGAGTCCTCAGGCGAGGGATGACGGTTCAGAGTTGGGCGCGTAGTGAGTAGTGAGTAGTGTGCTTACCACTTGCAGTGCCCTAACCTGGGAATGTTGAGGTTTGGGGTTCTGATGTCCAGCAGCGTCTGGTTCGTAGAGAGTTAGCTGAGATGCTTTGCTGCTATGTCCGCAGATTCGAGTGGCCAGACGGCTCCGTTTACGACGGCGAGTTTCGCAACAACAACGCCCGGAGCTTTGCCCCAGTGTTTATGCCTGTCATAGGTCAGAGGAGTTCATGAAGCTGCCATGACTAGCTAGCCTGCCTCAGAACTCAAGGATTTGCTGGTGGTTTTATACATCTGACTATGGCAAGTGGATTGAACTCATGGCACCCGACATCGTTGCAAATTAACGGCCTCGAAGCTTTGCCCCGAAATCCTAACCCGCCCTCCAAAAGCAGGAAGCCATCATCCCCTGAGACAAACACCTCACCTTCGACCCTAAACACTGACTAACTGTTGCCCTTGTTCCTCGTGCCTGTGCCGATGTGACATACGTTTAGCTCTCGAATGCGAGTCTGAGTTGCTTTAGGGTTAGCTGCCCCTTACCGAACCCTAAACCCTAAACCCTAAACCCTACACCCTAAACCGATTACCGGGGGGCCCTGGTATCCCAGAATTCGCTCTCAGTGACCATGTCCCTTCTATACTCATGCACCACCCCTTAGCACCCCCTAGCACCCAAACCATAGCAGCCTATATACCTCAACCTTCAGCTCGCCGAAAGAGGCTGAGGTATAGGCTGTTATGGTTTGGGTGCTACGGGGTGGTGCATGATGAGAAAAGGGTAGTGATCTCTGCTAACTGAAAGAAGGGTCGACATTAGGTCTCCTTACACCCTAAACCCTAAACCCTGAACCTGAAACCCTAAACCTTAAACCCTAAGCCTGCAACCAAAAACCTTAAACCCTAAACCTTAAGCCCTAAGCCCGAAACCCTAAACCTGAAACCCTACACCCTAAAGTCTAAACCCTACACCCATAAACTCTCAGATCTCCACCCCATGTGAGAACCCCTGCAAAGGTCGAAGGCGAAGGCACCTTCACATGGAAGGCGCCCGCAGTTTGATTTTGGGTTTAGGGTTTAGGGTTTATAAGGTTTAGGGTTTAAGGGATTAGAGTTTTAGGGTTTAGGGTTTAGGGCAAGTCCTTACGAATGAAACCTCGTGACTACTGTAGGGGCCTGAATAATGACCTGTACTATTTTTGGGGTTCGCTATTATGACTATAGTACAATATACCCCAAGACCCTATTCTAATTGTTAAGGCCCCTATATTAAATTAGGGGCTTGCGGTTTGGGGTGCGTGGGTTTGGGGGGGTGTTTCATGCAGAGTTTTGGCTTTTAGGGTTCAGGGTTTAGGGTTTTTAGTTTCTAGGGTTTAGGGTTTAGGTAGGCATTTTAGGCCTCAGGGGTCTGGATTCTGCATTTGTGTGACTAAGGTTTAGAGTCGTGGCGTCTAGGGAATCTCGGGTTCAGGGTTCGGCTGTGGCTTGTACGGTAGGGTGCAGGGCAGAGGTAGGTTCAAAGCTTAGGTTTCCGGGATCGAAGGTGCTGACTAAGACGCCGAAGTCCCTACGTCACTGCAGCCCTTCAGTTATCTAGCTCTAGCTACCGATGCCTGGCTTGTTATTACTCCGAGCCCCCCACCCTAGTGCATTAAGACAAAGCCCCTTCCCAAGGACGGCCGACAGTACAAAGGGCAGTGGGTCGACAATCGCGAAAGCCTCAGCATGGTGACGCCGAAGGTGGATACGGTTGATGATATAAATCCTGAATTACCTTAAGGACCCTAGACTATGGGAAATATGGGATCTTCCTTATTATATCATGGGTAAGGCAGGATTTATATCATCAGCCGTAGTAAGGGGCCTGAATGAGTAGAATAGAGTTTGGGGGAGTTCATGACGATCGTAAAAGCGGCCTCAAGACGCAGAACCAGGGGCCACGTCGGGTATTACAGAATTTGTAGTTTGGGGTTTGAGTAGAGCGATCTTATATAGTGCTACCACCCTAAACCCAAAACCCAAAACCCTACACCCTAAACCCTAAACCCTAAACCTTAAACCCTAAACCCTAAACCCTAAACCCTAAACCCTAAACCCTAAACCCAAAACCCAAACCCTTATAAACCATTGGGTTGACGGCATGTAAGCTTAGGGGCCGAGGGCTTTTGGGCCTTGGGTTCAGGGTAGAAGCAACTTGGGCTGCAGGGCAGACCCTTGGGTTTAGGGTTTAGGGTTTCTAGGGGTTTAGGGTTTTTAGGGTGTTTAGTGTTTTAGGGGTTTAGGGTTTACGGGTTAGGGTTTAGGGTTTTTAGGGTGTTTAGTGTTTTTAGGGGTTTAGGGTGTAGGACCCTTGGCCTTCGACACTCAGCCTTTCCTGGATGAGAGATGGAGCAAGGCTCCGTGATGGATTTTGAGCCCGGGGCGGAAGAGACCCAAACTGTGAGAAGTCTTGTCAACTGTAAGCGTTCCAGTTGAGGGTTCAGGGTTACCCCAAAATCCGAAACTCACCCATATCCTACGTCCTACAAGTCAAGACCGACAAAAAATCTGACTATACCGTGAACCCCAAGCCCTGCAAGGCATGCACGGCGAGGGTCGCTACGAATGGCCAGATGGCCGAGCGTACGAAGGTCCCTGAGTTGCGAGGGCATTACGGGCTTTAGGCGTGGTACTGTTGATGGACAAAATCCTGCATGACCCAAGTATAGTATAGTACCATAAATCCCATAGTTTAGGTATATAAGGTCATGCAGGATTTTGTCCATCCACCGTATCATCACTCTCTGGTGTCATCAAGCTGCTGTTTCTTGCACCAGTAACAGGTTGTTGCAATAAACTGCCACAGCAGCAGTCGCCCGAGCCTGCCTTGGACAGTCATGCTACTAGCCTCCTCATCCAAGGTAAGATTCTGGCAGTGACCCTGAATCATGGTTGCACAGAACGATAAACTATGCCTGATAAACCGAGCCCCAAAACAAAAACCCTAAACCCGTTCAAACCCTCAAGCCCTCAAGCTCCTTAAGCCCCGAAGCCCCTAAGCCCTGACCCTTCAGCCCGAAAGAGCGTTCTGAGACAGCGAGGGGCCGAAAGCCTTGCAACCCGAAAACCCGGAACCCCGAGACGGGACTGCGGATCCCTCGATTTTAAGCGGTCCTTTAAAGGCACGTTTAGGGGTTCCTTAAAGGTACTCTTAGGGGTTCCTTTAAGGGTACTTTTTAAGGGTTCGTGTAAGGGTACCTTTAGCGGTGTCTTTAAGGGTAGGGGGTTCCGTTAAGGGTACTCTTAGGGGTTCCTTTAAGGGTTCTTTTAGGGGTTTCTTAAAGATACTTTTAGGGGTTCCTTTTAAGGGTACCTTTAGGGGTTCCTTTCTGGGTACTTTTGGGGTTCGTTTAAAGGTTTTAGGGTTTGGGGGGAAGTAGGGTTTGGGGGGAAGAGCCCTCCAGTATGCCTTCTGATGGAAGGGTACTTTCAGGGATTTTAGGGTTCCTTTAACGGTGCCTATAGGGTTCTTTTAAGGGTACTGTTAGGGGTTCCTTCAAGGGTATGATGGTCCTTGAAGGGTACTGTAACGGGGATACGGCCAGGCCAGTACATCAACGATCTCAAGGCTGGCTGTGGGAGAGATTGCTCCTGGGATTCCGGCTTTGCTTTTGGGATTCCGGGGTTTTCGGGTTCGAGGATTGAGGGACTGGTCTTCTGAAGCTGAGTTAATGGCTTTCGCGCGCTTCAGGGGCGTAAATTTTGATGCTCATGTTCCCCTGTCGTCCCAATGCAACTTTACTACAACATACACCAGAACTCTGTCTCTAAAGTATGATGCGATTTTGCATTGCATTGGTGGAACCATTACAAGACTTAGTTAGATGACTAGCTCAAAGCGACGCTAGACGTTTATGTGATGCACAAGCCAGCTGCAGCTGCACTCGCATCCGACTTCTGTCCGCCATCACGCCACAAAGCCTCCAAGGAGACGCGCAGGTCGCGAAGTTCTTTGGTTCAACATCTTCAGTTACCAGAAAAAAGCCGGTAGTGCAATCTTTGTCCTAGTTTCACTCAGGGCTCCCTCCTAGCAAGGTTTGGGTGTCTAGCACGGATGCCTGGTTTATGCGACCCTTAGGCCGGACAGAAAATTACTTTAAGAACCCCAAACCCACTTTTTTGTAGGTTCTTATTATAAACCCTAATATGGGATTTATAGGGACCCTACAAAAAAGTAGGGTTTTGGGGTTCTTAAGGTAGGGTTTAGGGTTTAGGGAAGGCTTAGGCACAGAAAGTCTCCCTCCAGCAGTCATGGGTGTGCTGCTTGGCTGCCTGATTCCAGGTAGAACCCTCATAGAAAGTCCAGTGTGTAGGGTTTAGGGTTTAGGGGTTTAGGGTTTAGGGTTTAGGGTTTAGGGTTTAGGGTTCCATATCCCCGATTCCTATTTGTCTAGTAGCCGGATTCCTCGTCATCGTTTCCGATTCCTATTTGGGGTGTGAAAGAAGCAACTGTAAGAACTCTGGCTGGTCGTTCCTGCAGCGGTCCTAGCAGTAATTACGACAGCCTTCGGCAGTGACCATAGACCTTAGCATGATTCTCGGTTCAGGGTTTTGTTTAGGGCACATGAACCATGGACCCCAAAGCCTAAGGTCATACGAGATGTTGTCCTTCTGCTGTGGTAGCCCCAACTCCCCGAGAGTATGTGGAGTCGAAGTTGAAAGGAATAAGGCCTAAGAGATAGCTACGATAATTTTGGGCGTAGGTTTTCGGGGTATGCCACAGTATAAGTATAAAGGGACTAAACAAGGCCTGAACCTGGCCTCCCCCGATTCAATCCCGAGCCTTGACGCAGGAAGGCGAGGGTACCTTCCTTTGGGCGGATGGGTATTGGCCTCGGTTTAGTTTTATCCATCAGCCCTAATTACATCCTATGCCTAAACCCTTGACCCTGAGCGCTAAGCCCTACAAATTCCGGCTACTAAAAGCCCTGATAGAAGCCTTACAGGGAGCGCAACCCTAAAAACACAAGCCAGTCTGCGCCCCAGACCCGAACAGTAGAACCTAAGACCTTAAACCCGAAGACCCCAACAGAACCAGTAGCACAAGCTTCACTTCGGGAGTTCGGGGTTCGGGGTTTAGAGCTTGCATGGCTCTTTCATGGGATTTAGGGTTTGGGGGCCTAAGGGTTTACATAGGGCTC